TTTAATTTTACTCCATGATAAAATTTTTCCACATACTTTGCATTTCGAAAAGCCACTTTCATTCTGACCGAAAAGAACTGTGCTTTCGTTGGACAAGCGCATGATGACGCGTGTGGCCGAATTGATTTAATAGATAAACATATCGGCCGGTGCGAACAAACAGAACGTTTGGCGAGGCGTTTGGAGGAAGATCGATATTCACGATTACGTTCCATAAACAAAACTGCCGATGCGCCGATGCATGCCGAGGTACGGTGGTGTTACCTCGAGCGATGCTGGATCCGTCCCTTACACCGTGCGGCTAAATTGAATTCCCCTAAGCGGTATATCGGTTCCTACGAGCTTCAAAACGACTCACGGCGCGCTACCGCCCCGGCCCTAATTTCCACCCTTGATCGCTCTGCTGTCGACAGGAACGAGCAGAATGCAAAAAAGAAGCGAACCGAAAGAACGAAGAAAAATACGGCGATGATGAAAGATGAGTTTTCCACGATACGAATGAACTATTAATCTCACGTGCGCGCGCGCGCGCGCGAGATCGCTCCAATTTTCTGCTTTAAGGCAAGATATATCCGTAAAAAAAGGGGGAAAGAAAAACGGGAGAAAAACGGCGCCGGTGACACGAGAGCGGAAAGAAAGGCGGGCGAAATTAAGAGGAAATCGGTTAACGGATCATTCCCGCTCTTCCGCGTCCGTAATCTTCAGGATACAAAAAAGTAAAGGATACACGCAGCGCCATGTGTAGCAAATCCTTCCCCGTCCCACCCCCCTTCGCTACACCACCCGAGAAACGAGTCTACGCTTCCGATACTTGAAAACCTAAGACAGTCGTCGGCTAGTCCTAGTGATATATTTTAATAAATCATTATCGCGGGTCTATTCTTCTTTCCTTTCTTCCTATCATAGTAGTATGTCGTCGTAACTAATTATTCAGTTAGGGTGTCTCTCCCCCCTTTACGTTTTCCCTTACACGAGTTAACCACGAGGGCTGTCACCCAAAATCGTCTCGTATCGCATACATTAAACCGAGTCTATAGTCTATCTCGCCTTCTCTCGCGGTCGACGTTGCGGGATAATCGATTAGGATTTCGCAGGCAGTGTTTGAGGTCTTTTATTTATTTATTTTTTCTCTCGTTCGGATGCGTTTCGAGCTCACGTCTCGACGAACAGCGGCGAAACTACTTTGCCTCGCTGGCGGGGCAGGCTACCTTCCTCTACGTCGCCGATCGATCGTTCCGCTCGCGATATCCCGCCGCATCAATCGCATTCACGCAACATACAGTAATCTTACAAATAATATATCTAACAACTTTTAGTTCAACTTAGATTGCTTTCCGTGATCACGCCTACTCCAACCCGAAGCGCGCCTTCGTACACTCGCATCGGGCACGCACTTCTTCGCACTTGGCAAGACTGCGACCATCATTCACGATCGATACTTCCTTCCCACCCTCCATCACCGTAAACACGCGATTGACGTGACATGGTCCGCAAGGACTGCACGAAGGCGCTCTTAGCCAAAGTTCGTGTACTTTACTATTCTATCGTAATATTACGTTTGCTTTTACTCTTTTTATAACTTTCTTTAAATATACGATAGGTAGGTTTACTATTCTTTACGTATCGATCCGTGACATCATGCAATCGTACGCATGCACACACTCACACACACGCAAATATGCATGCACTCACCCATAACACTTTTTCAATCGCTTTTCTCTGCTCATCTTTATATCCAGACGCGTCTGCGATCTACTACGATTCGGGACGTCGGTTGATGACTGGAGAAATTTAAGGATGATTTGTAGATACAAGTGGGCCGAACGGATCGTCGAGGATCCGCTTTCCGTTTCTTTTTCTTCAAAACGCGGCGAAAGTCGTGCGTAAGAATCTTTAAAAGCAACGAAACTTTCACAAGGTCAACGGAATCCTTGTCGATCCGCGCGACTTCGAGACTAGGCTCAGTCTCGATCCAAAAGTCTTTCGATTTTATCTCTAATGTGTATTCGGCCTTAATCCTACGTCATAATACTATTCAATACTTGTTGAAGCTCATAATAAGTACATACTCGAGGATTAGATTATTGTATTATTCTCTTACATCTTCCTAGGTCTCGCTTAGGTACAACTCTGCTACTTCAATTTCTCAGATTTTTTTCAGCGATTTCCTTATTGGAGGTTTTCTCTCTTATCGCATACAATCTCGTATAGGTTGAGCCTTATAGGTACAAAAGGTAAATCGTCAATCGCGACGATCTCTGTACAGAAGTTAATAACAGCCGCGCCCATCGAGGGCTCGATCGGGCATCTCCGCGCTGCTGTATTACCGAGGATACTGTGAATGTTACAATATAAATGTCTATGTACAAACTTAAGAGTAAGAGCGAAACTATCACCGATGCGATCAACTACTTGAGGGAACTGAAATCCGTGTTTAGAAAGGCGTCATGACCTCCCCTACTACTCTTTATAGTCTACGTGTATGTGTGCTGATTATGGCTGGCTGGGTGCTATCTCGATACGTCGATCGTTCGACAAACCGCGCTAAATGACCACCGGTAAACATTTGTTGTCGCGTTGATTATAAAATGTATGTCGAGATCTCCGAGGAAAAGTCGGACGGACGCTAACACGAACGCTATTTCCACTATAGTGCGAGTTTGCATATTTTCATGGACGATTGCTAAACGAGGACGTATGTATTTGCAAAATTAGCGATGAAGCATGGTAAAATTGAATTTCTGTCATTTTCGTACGTGTCGAAAAATATCCGTTTGCATCTCGTTGAAAAACATTTGTTTATTCAGAGATCGAGAAATATTTTTTTTGTGGCCAATCAACTTGACTGAATGCGGATAGTCGAAATATTAACAATAGATTAAAATCATGCCGTTGCTTTTTAGCAGTAAGTCTTCTCTGTTGTTTTTATAAAAATATAACGCTATTATCTATGTACAGATAATCACGAAGTCGGAAACGCCCGTTCCCATATCCGAAAGAAGCTCTCGAGCGGTATAATAAAACAGAGCGTAACGAAAGCTAAGCGGTAGTAAAATAAAAAAGAAAAGTAATTAATACTCTAATAATCAATGTATTTGATATCTCAAGATAAACCAAATATAACAGCAAATATGCAAAAATTCCAGTTTTCGGGCGAAGCAGACTTCACGGACGCTGCGCACTGTAGGCTTTTCAATGCCGAAGCATATACGTGTTCCATGTATGCAGATAAAAAATGCAATGCTGGCTCCGATAGCCAGCGCAACCTCAAGTCCGGAAGTCGTCGAAACGATCGCTCGCCTCGATGTTCCCCAGCACCGCGTTTAGTTTTGTTGGCGGTCGTTACTCCGGTTTACTCAGCGATACCGCAGGATGCAACGAGAGATCTCTCCGGCCATGTTCATCGAAAACTTATAAGCAAACATGTATATCCTCTACGCTAATATTAGACTTATCTAAGCGGAAAATGTGTACACGTGACTCCCAAGTCCGGTATTATGTACAGTGCACGGGCGCGTACATAACGATCGCCGTTAATCGCTCGTTAGGCGCGTAACGCGTTTCTCTCGTGCACGCGTGTGTGTGTGTGTGTGTGTGTGTATTGAGGAAAGGATCGGATAAAAAAAAGGAATAGACGGGATTACGTGCGTTTGAAAAAAATGTATAACGTGGATCTGAAACCACGGGTCTTATCGGTTTCCTTTGAAGGAAATAAACCCGCGTAGCACCTTGATTCAAAGGGAGGGAACGGGAAGGGAATGTTTAGTTCTCGACGATGTCGCGTCATGAAGGTACTCGTGGTGGTTCCTCGTGAACTGGAGTATGTCGATTTTTTCAAGGGTTCCGCGCGACATGAAACGACACGCGAATACGACGCGCTTTTGTCGACATAATGCGAATGTGCGGGGATAAAAACACGGCGTCATCGTGTGCTCGTTCGCTGTGCGTTTCATGTAGGTACATGAAGAATAATGGTGATGATCAGAACGGCACGAAGGTTCTCGCAAACAAAAGATAACAGGCAGTAGCTCGCGCGATCGTCGAGATGCGATATATGAAGGGAAAAATGAAGGAAAACGCGGAGGTGCGCAGGGATACGAGGGCTGAGTGGGTGGGTCTGAAGGGTGCAGGTAGAAAATAGGCGTGTGCGCGCCGCAAAAGCGGCGAACGTGATATGGAAAGCTAACCAGCGTCGCACGAGTGCAGCAGCGCAGCGGCGGCTCGCATGAAGGTCTCTAAAGCCGATAATAATCTCATATGTAACCTGCGTGACGTCGTAAACGCGCCGTTGGTCACGTTTCGTTTTTCTTTTCTCCTTTCTAACACGACGTTTTACCTTTCCTTCCTCGTTTGACGCCACCGTTTCCTCTCAGCCTCGCGGGTGCGAGCCGTTTGCGACTATTTTCCAATCGATGCTCCCACCCTCGTTGTAGAGAAGCTCCATCTCGACTTCGTTTGTCAGTCGCTTCTATCTTCCGGACGCGAAAACTGCAAGGTAACGTGCCATTCTCCTTTTGACGCACCGCTTAATATTGATGTTCTATCGGTAATCGATATCTTGGTCACGATGATATCACGATCGACGTTGCGTCGTCTTCCGTAAATGAGGCTTCAATATCGTATGTACACATAAAATTCCCTCCATCTCGCAAAATTAATTATAAGTTCAAGGAAAGGAAACTGCGCGTTTCTCCATGCAGCATCGACCGGTCCAGGTGTGAGAGGAATCAGGACTTTATCCATGATCCTTCGGCACAAGAGGTATCGTTCATTCACCCCGAGGAACATCACTCCGCGCGATTGCGCAACCGTATCGAAATTTACGAACCGAGGATCGTCCCGCTGTCCCCGCGCTCCTTTCGCGGCGTTCAGCGTCCGGTCTCACTTTCGCGGATCGCACGCGACACGTCTATTTACAGCGAGACGAGTACGATATATATATATATGTATATATATATATATATATATGTATACATATGTATATATATACACGTAACGAAAAGTCGGATATGCGCGACGAGAACGGAACTGGAATGTTCTCCCGGGTCACCGATCGCCAATAAACTCATGGTCACTCGCGATCGGTAGCGCCGACGAGAAGCTCTCGGGCACCGTGGCACGTGGATAGCAGTATACACGATCGATCATACGTTTTTCACACCTTTTATTCAGTTCACTGGTTCGCGAATCGTGGACCGACTTCAGTCACTTAAGAGTCCTCGAGTGACCAGCGGACCAAGCGCGGTGGCGTGACCGGCCAACAGGAAGGCCAGGCCGATCCAACCGGTCGTGGTCCAGCCGCGATTCCTTGGTGGGACGCTTATGCGTATCATCGTATCATCGTAATCTCGGCTCGACGAGGGACCCAATGATCGGCTCCATCAGACGAGGGGCGTGCCGTACACCTCGTTCGTGTGTAAATTCTGATTACTGTCGTTCTGCCTCGAGGCGCATTGCTGCAACAGAGAAAGCACGCACGTCGATGCTATAAAGGGAGTTGCATCTCGATTCCCGAATGTATTGTATTAAACAACATTGTTGCCTCGTGTACTGTGTAGCACGTGTTCGAAACTAGAGATGATCGCTACGCTGCGTGAAATCAATTCGCGTAAGTAAATATAAATAAATTTCACAATCGATCATGACTAATTTTAATGCAGTATATTCATGTAAATTATAAGAGATTATTATGAACTCATCCGTCATGATATATGATATAATAAAACATTAACGATCGCCTTAATACGAGCGCAAATATTTATATAGAGTAAACGCGTAAAATCGGCTAACCACATTAATAATTCTGTCGTGCAAATTATATTGATTTTGTTTTACGCGTTAAGAGTTGTCGTTGCGTAATACATAAAAGATTACGAACGATTTTGAACAATCACAGAGTAATTCTCATTTGCCGGCTATCAAATGCAATTATATTTATCGATACACATTATCGATTTACAGCTATACGCCCGTAGGTATATTTTCCCACAATATAAACTTTACCTCACATCGAGCAATTTCATGATAAATATTTAATTTTCATCCATCCGTTCCGATGCATATAAAGATAACTGAATATACGTAGAATCTACTGAATTGTACATCGTTTTGCAATGCAAATTTTGAACGGCTCAATTACGGTTTATGACAATTCTATATATATATATATATAACGGACGGTGATATGAATATCTGAGATATACGGCAACGTCATTTCGCTCCCGGTATTTGAAGAAATATCTATCGACGTTATATCGACTGATCCGAGGAGTAAGATGAATCGACTTACCGCTTGCTTCCTTTCCCAGCTCTTCATCGCCGACTTGTACTTCTCGAACTCGTGACACCAGTCGGAATAAATCTTCTGGTAGTCGTTGGACTTGGCAGGCGCCGAACATCTGTGCGCGTCCACAGTGATGTTGTACGAACACAGGAGAGCACCGCCGAGCCAACAGTCGTATCTGCCGGCGTCCTGCTCGTTCACGCCGACGATTACCAGACCCTTCTCCGAGGTCTCGATGAATTTGTCGCCGCCGGCGCCGTACTTGTACGCGATCTGATACCTTCCCTTCTCTTTGCTATAATGGTACCACCGCACCTCTTGGTTCGCCAGGACCTCCGGCATCTTCACGAAGCAACCCAAGTGCACCGACTGGCCCCATGTGACAACCAGTTTCCGTTTGCCGACGCTGCTATCGCAAACGTCTGCCGTGGTGTTCGACACGTCTTGAAGAAGACTGCATGAAAAAAAATTAATCAGAAGTCACGATTATACACGCAATAATTCTGTCGCGAGCATGTAATCTCGAACATTCACGTTGCCGTTGATTTTATTCCGAAATATTTTGAAATTGAATTTTGATTCGTCAGCTGCAATTTTCTTTTTTCCTTTATTTTATTTTATTTTTTTATTTTTGTAAAAGTATTTCGTTTCACCGGACGGAAATGAATCTGCGGTAACTGAAATATACGATGCGTAAAATCGGCGCGAATATTTCTGCTCCGAAATCTGCGTACCGTAATCAAGCGAGCAAATTATGATGAAAATTGAATGTGTTTTATTCTTTGTTTTTTATAATACGTGTGCATCTTGCGTAAAATTAAAGATTATAAATTACATTCCGCGTGTGTATTCGCAATTTATTTTACGATCACGTTTACAGAGAATGCGATGAGCACTTACCCTGGTTCATAAGGTTTACACGTGTTTGAGTCCTTATCCCATCCACAGTAAGGATCGTGGACGCATCGCAGACAGTTGTCGTATCGTCGAGTGCACATTACCAGATCGATCTGCTTTATCCGATGATCCGATGCCACGTAGAGAGCCTTATGTTCCTTCGAGATCTCCATCGCCTGTATTGGTTCGCCAGGCGTGACATCGAAAACATCCAGCAAGATCGACTGGGATTCGCCATTACTGTCGATCCACTGTACAACCTTGTGAACGCGGCCATCACCTGTAACACGCGATAAGAGGCACGTGCTCACGCATTTTTATCGGAGAACAATAAGTTATCTCTCAGATCGCGTTTCTATTCATTTTGACAGATATTCGATAGTTTGCTTACTAGAGCCGGCGTAGTAGACAGTATAATCCAAATCGATGCCCACGAAGTCGATACGCAGCTTATCGACGACCAATCGCGTGAGCATGACGTCCCGCTTGTAGAAGACAGGTTTCTCGTTCTCGTGCGAAATTGCGGAGTCCATCAGTGGATGGGATCTTATGAAATTCAGGACGGTGTCAGGCAACGTCTCTGTGTCGTTGACACATTGGCCCGGGCGCGGTTCCGGAACCTTGTTCGACAAGACTGGTAGCCACGCGCTACTGCTAGTTGCTTGCTCTTTGAACTTTCCGCGGAAAGCCTCTTGGATGGCGTCAATGTGGAAGGAACATATCGCAGAACCCATTAACCCGTTCGTCGATGTGGTAAAGGTTCCATAGAAATGCGTATCGTCACCCGGCACCTTATAAATGCTCTCTGAGCAAGAATGTAATAATGTAATTACATGTCGCCAAAATATATGAGTCAGAATGTGAACATAATAACAGCGAAAATATGATTTTTTTCCGTTAAAAATAACGATTTTGTAACATCAGATATCATTTCAATTAGAAATATTTTTTATATGAGAGAAAAATAATTATAAATATCTTTAATCCTCTGCCGGGAAAAAAATTGGGATTTTTAAAAGCACCATCAATATTTTTGATTGCAAATTTTGATAGATAAATTTAAATCTGTAAAAAAATTAATAAAACGCCGTCCGACTTCTAATATACCAGAATTTTTGTTAGATTTTTATATAATCCGGAACAATAAAAAATGTGCTCTGTTTTTCAAAAATCCCCTATTGTGCTGACGGAAGAGGGTTAAAATTAATGTCGCCGGCGGAGAGTTAAAAGCACTAAATTCTAAATGTGGTAAAAACGTAGAAAGGAAAGTGTAATTTACACTATAAAAAATATGTCATACAAAGCAAAAATATATAGGTATCATGTTATACAACATATATGCCGATACTCACGTATTTCGTTGAAATAAAACGGGAACTCGCCGGGTATCGAGCAATTCAATCTGGCCTTGAGGTATGTGGCCCAATTCTGCGAGAGTATATTTTTACCGCCAGTGTCCCTCTTGCAAACTCTCGCCACGCGGGAATACACACTTTTACCGCAGTTTATGTATTCGACCGCGGTCTCGCGGAAAAAGAAGAACACGTGGCTGCCAATGTCGAACGAACCCACAAAGTTCGGTTCTACAAAGATAAAGAGGCGTAATATTATCTCAGCATTAATCCTTTGATATTTTCGAGCGCTTTGAAATCTGTTTCTCGCAATTCTATGTACGTTTCCTCGCTGAGACGATATTTCGCAGTTGCAAAACTGTTCAACCAGAATATTCTGGCGAGTTTATATGGTCGCGTAATCTAGCCGTTAGCGCGTCTACCTCATTCTACAGCAAAATAACTGCATCTAGAGCAGATAGTTCGCGTAGATACTCCGCAATAAGCGCGCACAATAATAATCGCGAATCGAGTATTCGCCGCGGGTGGTACACGAGAAGATGTCCTTGCTCGTTCTATGCGTAAAAACTTTCATCGCCGGGACTGTTCCAGCTCTGTTCAAACGCGGACAATAATCTCCGAATTCCGTTTAACCGCAGGCAGTTCGTAGGCAACGGTATTATTTTGTACCTGTTTCAAGAACAAGCGAGAGGAAGGGAGAGTAAAAAACAAAATTATATAGCAGAGCTTAGAAATAATACGCTTTAATTGCGTCCCTTGAAAATGTTTCATGGAAAATAGTCTGAATTCAGTGAAAATATGATTTTACAATCTCGTGTTTTATTTATTAAATTAATTTATAATAAATTTTTTTCAAATTCATTTCGTCGAATATATAAATAACTAAAATTAAATTGCAATTCATCAACATCCAGCTCGAAAAGCTGCACAGCGTGAGAAGTGTCATTAAATCGGCTTTATTGAATTTCGCGTAGTAGAATTATAAGAATTTATTATTATTTTTGGATAAATTGCGCGAAGAAAGAGTCCGAAATAACACTGTTAAATTCGTATTGTTAAATTATATCTACCTAATTTGAATTTTAATCATTTCTAAAATCATTCCTAATGTCTAAAAGTTGTCACTGTTTCTATTCAATATATGTTGTTAATTTAACTAAAACAATGAAGTTAAACAATTTAACTCAAGAAATGTATTCAATTCAAATTAAATTTAACTTATTTAAGTGTCATATGTAATATGGACGTTGTTTACTTTAAAACTAAGCAATTCACAGCCATAGAAATGGATTGATTTACATTTTGACATATATACCAGGAAGTTAAAAATAACAAAATATTATTTAACTCGAGAAACTGAGTGACTCTTGTTCCTTTAATACCTAATAATGAACTTCTCAACGCGGTTTAGTGAGTCCACAGCTGGGGAGCGTTTTCGAGGCATCGATTGTGAAATATTACACGTAATTACCACACAAATCCGCCTAGTTGGAAATAATTTACTACAAATCAATTTCAACCTGTTTTGCCGATTTTCGATCAATGATTTTCGTGTATCTGTGGTTTGGCTACAAACTAGATTCAGGTCCGATATGTCCATGGCATAAATCGCGCAAATATTTGCGTTATTCGTAGCTCGATGCAAGCGTTGCGGTTTAATCTTGGTGTAATTGCTTGTTGTACCGAGGAAACTGATTTATCCCACACAACGATGAAGTTGGAGTTGGATGACGCGAGAAAATGACGAAGAAAATCGAATTTTTCCACGTTCGAATCGCGTCAACGTCGCCAGAGTCGGGCCGGGCCTTTCTTGTCGATTTTACATTATGCGACGGCGCTCGGCTGGAGGCCGCCGCAATCTCTCTCACGGTTCAGCGATTAAATCGATTGTCTGACGCTTCGACGGCGGAAGTTTGATATATTGGGGCGGTACAAGCCCGTGTAGATAGACAGAGACGAGCGAAAAGGAGAGAAATAATTTACGAAGAGAGAAGACGTGGAAGCATCTCGTAGCACTTTTGATTGTGCACCCCGACATTGTTGACGAGTAACATACGACGGAGTTCGCGAACATTGAAAGTGCTCGCTTATATTTCAAGAAAAAGATCGTCTCGTTACATCGCGACAAAACGAGACTTTCACATTTTAAATGCAATGGATGTTCGAAAGGAAGACGGTTAATGTTCCAACGACATTCCGCACGCGCAAGGATCCGTGAAAGTAGACGCTCGTCAGCTAGTTATTCAAAGCTTGTTAAGTCCATTGCGTTCTACTCCCTATTTTTCTTCGTCTCCCTTTCCGTCTGCGATTTACCCTCCCGGAGCCGGTTTTCCTTATCATGACCTCGCACCACGAACCGCATCAGTCTTCATTGCGTCTTGCCATGCCGCCAAGTAAACCGAAGAAGCGAGAAAGAGAGGCTATGAGCGAAGAAGGAAGGTCGACGAGGAAGAAGGGGCGGAGAGTCGCGAAGATTATACGAGGAGCGCACGTGGAGCTCATCCGTCTCTTCCGGGACTCTCGTCTGCTTTTAATCAACGCCTCTGTTAATAGACAAACTCGATACGGAGAATGGTCCTTGATGGTAGCGCTCAGTAGTCTTGTTTGTAGGGTCTAAACGGAGGTGACTCCTGGCAGCTTGAGGAGGCGGAGGAATAGGCAGAGGCGAGAAAGAGAGAGAGAGAGAGAGAGAGTAGCGAAAGGGCTGCTGGCTCGAAATTAAACGACGAAACAAATGGCTAATCATGCGTCCCGCGGGAGGGCGCGAAGGATACAAAGTGGGACAAAGTCGTCCAACCATTCCCTCCGACTTTTGCCGCTTCGATACCGCGACCTTCCTTCCCGACGACGACGGTTGAAAGAGTGGGCTCGAGTGGTGGCACGCTTCGACAGAGTGAGGAAAAGCGGAAGCAACCCCCTCGAGAAATACAAAGCAGTCATCTAACCGTCTTGCGTCATTATTACGGTCCGTATATATCGCGCATGAACACTCACCGCGAAAGGATTGTGACAAGGACGATTAAAATTAATTTTTATCCGGACAACTTATTTTCTCGCCAACCAAAAAAAAAAGTAATTTTTATAATAATTAATAAATAAAAAATGTTTATTTAACAAGAGCTTATATAAATATTTCGTTTGCATTTGACTTGATGAACTAACGAACGAATAATATTCAATGAGAAATGTAAACTATTTGTAGAACAAGACTTTCTTGGCAATCATTTTAAAACGTAGACAGTCAAAGGATAGAACAGGATTTCGATATTAAACGGTCGTATAACTAAATTTCGTATAACTAAAATTTCGACGTATTCCTCATGTCCCGTCACGACCGACGAACCTAACGAATCGGATTCTATTTACACTTGATCATCGCAAATCAGCGCGCTCTACGCCCCTACCTCCCGCGAGTTACGCTATTAAATTCCATGTCGGATTGTGTGTCTATATTCGACGCACGTCCTAATCTACATTTTCCAATTTCCTTGCCGGGCCGCTTTTGCCGCGCCTCTCACGTTCCGCGCTCCGATAACGAAAAATCGAGAGGATCGCAATAATCCCGGCCGACGAATCAGAGAGCCGGTAAAACTGATTAAAGCTCGGGCTTCCGAACTACGCGGGACTGAGACGAGGTAAAGCGGGAGAGAGCGGTTTCCGGCGGACGGACGGGAAAACTTTAACTTCTTCAGTCGGCTCGCTTTCTCTCCTTTTTCTCGAAAAAGGAGAGGGTACTTTCGTCGAGAACGCAGCGTTTAGGACGAGGAAGATCGCGTCGGGGTGTTATTTTATTACCCCGTTTCTAGAGAAAGAGAGAAAGATCGGCACCCTCTCTAACCGGTCCGATAGCGAACCTAGCGCCGACATCGCCCTCCAAACTCCTATAATTCCACTTCTAACCCACCCCTGCCGTCGTTCCCCTGCTTTTCTGCGCGAGAACCTCCTCGTCGTCGGCGAGGAAGGCAGTAGTACCCTCGGAAAATAGGCGGGGCAGTTTATTCGCATCCATTTGAACCCGAAGCGTGTTCCCGGCTGACAGGGTCCTACTTCAAAGCTCCCTGTCTCTTTCCTAAGCAGTACACCCTTCCTGCATGGTTTCTTCAGGAAGACCTGCTTCGCTTTTTAGCCGATCAAGGACGACCCCTTCCTTCTATTAATACTATGCGCTCTAAGCCTAATGGAAATTTCATTGTTCCCTCGACACGCCGTAATTATCTTCCAGTAAAGGTTTCTCTATGAAGTGCGGAGATTTAAGTATATATGATAATGGTGGACATACCGATCGATATCTATACGTAGGAGAGACGTAATTATAGAAAATATGCTTCCAAAAGATATACTATCACATCGAAGATTTGAACACGTCGAATATTATATAGTCATTGAATATCATATTCGATTCAATAAAAGAATATAGATATTCTATTAAGTTTAATTATTATAAGCTTTTAGCTAATGATATCGTTTGTAAAAAGAGTACTCACTATCGAGCCACTTGGAGTCGTACTTGAGTGTCCTCTTGAAGCTATATGTCTTACGACCGGTAGTCAGATTGTAAAGATCCGTGCGGAAGATTACGGTATCGGCTTTGGTGAACTCGGCGTTCGTGCCGGAATAAAGAGCTGGCAGGTCTCCGGGATTGCCCTTCTCGACCCAGACTGCCGTCGAATTGTCCGCAGGGTCATAAGGGCACTTCGCGATACCCATTCCCACTCCCGGGACAAACTCGTGGCGCGGTAAGTGAGTCAGATTGCTCTGGAAAGAACATTATTTGGGGGACGTGGTCAGATAGGCACAGATGATAAGATGTTATAGAAACAAAAGGGATGAGTTAAAAGGCATAAGTTACGGTCTTACAGAAGGTAATAAAATTATAAAACCAGCTTGATTAACCTTTAAATAATTAGATGGTTTAAAACGCAAATTGATAGATAGAATGCTCATAATACTCCTAAAAAGATTATAATTTTATAATTTTTTTACTAGTTTTTTTACTTTTACTATTATATCAAATGTATATTAGTTACATTTTTATAACATAAAAGAATGTAAAAATATAAAGATTTTAAAACACTTTTGGACACTAAGTAGTGCTTTTCATTTTCCTTTTCCAGAACAAGATTTTAAAGAAAGTTATACCTGAGGTGCTGTGATCATTTCATCTATTCACTTAAAGATTCAATAAAAAAAAATCAATTTCAAACCGATTAATAAACTCGTAGATAAAAGAAATAACGAAAGAAATAATTTTGAAGCATGTTGTATAATAAGTTTATAATATTTTAATATATATATATATATATTTATAAAATTTAATACCGAACATCTTGATGTAATTTAACTTTATTTAGTAGCTACAATCTCTAGCAGTAGCTTAGGTAAGCGGCTGGATGTTATTATTACGCGAGATGTTACGGCACACCCGGGACTCATAATGTTTAGCAAAGCGAAACTGTTGTATCTTTTGTCGTGTTGTTATACGGATACTTAAGCGTAAGATTCATTCATCTACCCGGACGCTTTGATGCACTTTACACAACTTTGCAAATCACATCATGCGAATTTATACTATTGCGATAATGCATGTAAATTTCCATTAATAACAGCATTATTCATTATATGGCTTTAAATATTTCGACGGGAATTAAATTAAAATGTACCGAGGAATGCGTGAGTGGCGGTGAAATTTATTCGTAACGCGAAAATTAATTAACGATATTATTTTCAGATGCCTCCTCGCGTTCTGTTATTAATTAATTAAATTAAGCGTAAAGCAGCACAAATCGGTGTGCGTTACACATATCACGCTGAATCCGTAATACATTTCAAGGGAAGTTGCGGATGTATTTAACATCGTTTCGCATTTTCAATTTTCAATAAACAAATGACAGCAAACGTTTAAACGTATATATATATTTTTTTAGCTCTTTGCCAGACCAATTGTCGTTTTTAACAATTTCACAATCCAATCACAAACTGTCGCGTATTACAAAATCAAATTTAACGAATTTATTTAGTATACATTGCATTTGCAAAGTATAAAAGGAAAAGAGAATTGAATGATGTGAGAAAACAATTGTAGTATTTATTTTAATATCCTACCATTGAGAAAATAAAAATAATTCCTCATATTATAACTGAGAAGTTTAATGACGTTTAGTGATTGACGATATTTAAAGATAGATTATCGTAATCGTCTATTTATATCTTTAGATTATAACTTTACCTGCTCATTTAAAGGTTACATTTTACATAAGATATGTAATAATTCATATGCAATCTCAAATCTACATTTACACACAGAAAGAATAGTTTTACTAAAATATCTAAAAAGTAAAAATATAGCTGGCTACAGATCTGAAAAATAACTTTGTTCGATCATCAAAAAATTATATATTATTTCAGAACGCTCAAACTGGTTACTAAAATGTCAAAACTTTTTACAGCATTGCTCTTCATGCTTGAGATTCCCACGTAATTATTTTGATGAGCCAACAAAATTATTTTCAAATCTTTATCTTGTTAAATTTTTATTAGTATTTCAGCAAAATTGTCCTTTCCGTATACGTGTTTTATATTTTCTGTATCGAAAATAACATGGAAACTTACATAAATCACCCAATCCTTAGGTGAATGTGCGTTTGTACCGCACATGTAAAGGCGATTGCCGTCTCCCATCGGCTGTATCACTCTTATATGGTTTCGGCAGTCGAAATGCTGTAAAAAGAAGAATCAGAAAAATTAAATTCAATAGTGCGACGTGTATTGGCGATGAGAAAATCGTTGCAGACATAGTGCATAGTGCCCGTAGATGAGTTCAATACGCGTTCCCTTCGAACTCTGGGAAGGCGAAAGATCGCGTCGCGTGCGCGGTAGAGTCGTCGCGGTCGATCACGTCGTGCGCGTATTTCGCGGCGAATCGGTGCACGGGAAATGAATTGGCTTTGTCGTCACGTAGGGAATATTTGCGTGGACCTTACACCTCGACGACGATGCGTACACGGTGCATACGAATGAAGCTGTGATAAGCGCGCGCGAGCACGCGTGGTCTATGGAACAGAACGCAATCGTGCTCGTTTTATCGCTGTAGTACCACGATTTCGGGATATGAATAAAAATGGATGCGTGTTAAAAAATCAGAGTTCCAGATTAACTTTAATTTTCAGCCCAGATACGATAATTTGGGAAAACTCTATCACACGTAAGACTCTTCTTCACGTTACAATATTTATATGGCAAGATTCATTAAAATTTATCTGATTAAAGTAGATGAAATAAAGATAGAGATTAGCTAACGGAACTTTAATATACTTGTATAATTCAGAAATTAAGACGCAGTGCGGTAGAAGTTGGTGTAGATTATTCGGAAAGAAGAATGCTACGATAAGATCCTTTTGCGTTAAAGATACAAATGAGATACATTCTCTCTAGAATATGGAATAACACCGCAGTGTCTATTAAAAAGTAAGCTTGCATCTTTCGTTTCGCGCGCCTTCAAAGAAGCTGGTTCTTTTTATTTTACTCCACGTCGCGTCGGCTGTTTGTGACTTTTTCTCCTCGATGTTACGTTCGATGTCTTTTTTGCAATCACAATTCTTTGGCTTTTCTGTTTCAGGAAGCATTCAGGCCAGTTTCCCGGTACCGGAATTAAAATTCTTCTCAAAGACGACGCGCAATGCGAAAAGGAACGCAAACCGAACTGTGAGAAAGAAACCTACCTCTGATTTGCCTTTGGACACGCAATTTGCCACATTGCTCGGTTCCAGATTCAGAGCGTCTCTCTGCAACAAAGAAAAAACATAAATTATACCACATTGTCTTGTAAATTAAAGCAAAATTTATTGGAAAACTTGGGAGATTTATTGCATTATTGTGTATATAACATTTGTTGTAATATATCTTCGAAAGTCTTCGAAGATATAAATTCTCCGAAAAAAATTCGAATATTTCATATTGAAAGAATAAAGAGAATCCTATTTCGAAAGCGACCCCATAATTATTCATTTTTTGAGGGAAATCTGCAGGACTCCTCTTTGTAAGTGCTTTCTTACGGACGCTCGACATGCTCGACCTTACAAGAAGTGTTAGAAGTGCATACTTCACATTTTGCCTTGTGTTACGCCACTGTCGCAGCAGCCTCTCGTAATACGGCTAGAAAGACACTAGAAATACATCAGAATAAGGTCAATATTCAAGAAATTTACAAGGAGAAAATTTTCACGCGGGAAAAACTAACGAAACTCTTCCTCCCCTTCTCCCTTTTCTTCCTTTCTTTATTTTTAAATGGGTCTACGGCTGTTCTGGATACGATTCTGTCTCATAATAGCAAGATTCTCTACATCATCCTGGAATGTGTCCTTGCGTGAAAATATTCAAGAAAAGTGCAAGAATGTACTTGTTATAATCACGCTGTGCAACAACCTCTTCCTATTGCGCTCTATGTATATGTCGATAGAATACGATCACGGCGTAGGAAGTAGTTCGCTTGCAAGGTCAATCGTCCGAAACGTGGACCTAACGATCGATCTCCTGCGGACGCCGCGTGCCGTTCCACGGGAATGTCACAGCCAGAAACGGAGTCGATGTTCGACATTGTCCCGGCCGAACGTAAGGGTGAGCCAAAACAGCGTTTCCCGACGTTGATCTACGACCAATAAATTACCGAAAGAATCGTTCCGCGTTGCGACGAGCGTTGGACGAATGGTCACGGACAAGAGTAGACAACATAGGACGTTAAATCATAGCAATTTCCACAGGGCACAATCAGGGTCTGTGATTCATCTCCGCTCTCGAGAAATCCTCCGAGTGATGCATCGTGATAGTAAACCGAGAACGTATCAGTCGTATGTAGCGTCCGTTTGCAATTTTGTACTCTAAAGTGAATGAACTCAATAATAGTTCTTGCCAATCGTAACACACTGAAATCCCCGCATTGCGGAGCAGATAAATATACAATATTGTTTCTACATACGACTCGCTGAACTCCGCAAGTCACATCCTATGCACAATTTGTCGGATAGGATGTACGTTGGCGAGAATCCAGGCGACGCGGTTGAAGTGGATACGAACATGATTTACCTCAGCGTATGGTATATACATGGTCGCAATATTCAGAACGGACTTGGAATGCCCTATTATAAGCATAATCCACTTACAAACAGCTCCGCGCAAGTAAGCGCGCTTATCACTGCGGTAACTTCGACTCGAAGTTTCCGATGAGCGTGTACGCTACACGGAATAATAGCATAGTGATAACGGATTACTCCCAACTTTCTTATTCCATTTGACTCGCGCCTGTATTATTTCCCTTGATTTGGCGAGCCTCCATCGATCCGTATTCGATCCGGCTCCCGTCTCTCACCGTTGCTCGAGAAGACTCCAGATTGACTAAAATATGACTTCCACCTTGGAAAACCATTAAAATCAGTTACAAGCCTTCCTCATCGTTCGCGTAAGCGTTGATAACGATGTATTACTCGTTAAACACCGCAGTGCATTAAGACGGTGTACACAGCTGGCGGTAATTAAAAGCGGAGCAATTCCCGGTATCCGCGCTTATACTCGTAAGCCCCTTTTGCAGATCTCCTCGTTATACTAATCATTACAATCCGTCTGTTAACCCGGTACGGAGATGGGAGCGCGAAGATGGCGAGAAATAGCGAAAGATGGTCGGAGAATTTTACGACAGAGACAGAGAGAAAGTTTTCCAGCTTCGTGTTCTTCCGTAGAATACACGTTAACATTACAACGTGTAATGCCACTTTTAAAGCCAATCTCGCGTATGTAAAGGATTTTGATTTTAACACGCGAATTGCGCGCATTCGCTTTTAATTAATCCGGGAATTAATTCGGGTGTTTTTACAACCCAACGGTAAAAAAAAATGTGATTTGTAAAATCACATTATCAATCACCTTTAGAATTAAAGGTTTAATCAAGGGTCAAAATTTTGACTCGGGTACTAATAAATTGAAAATCAATAATATACAATATGTATTAATGATTTTAATTGGGATGTAAAAACACCTCAGGTGACATTTATATAAAGAAAAAATAAGATGACTACTCTCTGTTAATACATAATGGCAGTGTTCAGCAGAGAAAGTTAATCAGTGAGCACTCAGTGATTCTTTGTTACGATTGATTCTTACCTTTTTCACTGGATCTAAGTGTAGAAGCCAATTATAATAAAGAATCACTGAGCGCTCGCTCACTGATCAGTTTTCTTTGCTGAATGCAGTCATTAACTGACATTATTACTCAACTATGTTCGGTCACGTATGTAGTTAGTAACGATCTTAAGGCGGAAGCGCAGACCTCTACATAATGCATAAAGCATAAGAAAATTAACCAATCAGATTCCCTTATTTCATGGAAAGGAAGAAAATGAAGGACCTTAATTGATTCATTTTCCTGTGCGTTATGTGTTATGCAATTTGACTCTGTGCTCTCGCTCTTACGTGGCATTTCATCAAAATCGTATAATGATTTACGTCTTTAGCTTCTATAGTTTAGGCAAAATCCCCCATCGAAGAATTATTGGAATAAAAAACATATATGCATGTTCCTTCGTGAATTATAAATTCGGGCGCTAGAGATCTAGGAGGAATACAGGTAGGTGCAGCTGTCGGCAATAATATTGTCGCCAAACCGCGATGTATCATTTTATCGCGCTGCCTACGACGCCATTAACTTTATAGCACCAGAGCGTGCCTCCCGGCATGCAAACGCCTCGACTTCCATTACCGGCGTGATACGTCGACTATTAAACAGAAATATCTCCCATCACCTCTCGCCTGCCGGTGTGTCCTACTCTAAACTCCGGGAATCTGACTGTTGCGGATTTTCTACTATCATTTCCGGATACATTATCTTCTTTCATCAACGCATCCGTTCTACGTTATTACGTCGAAATATAGAAGTATGTTTGTAGGAATTTTGATATTTTTTATTAAAAAATTTATAAATCGATTAATTAAATAACACAGAAATTCCAAGAACATTCTCTTGAAATTGCCTCAAGAAAAAGACATCTGTACCACGTTTACATTCCATTTCGACTACGCTTGATTCTTTATACTCATGCGCGGAAGCCTCTCTTATTCGCTTCCTCCATTGAAAGGCTTACGAGTCGCTGAAATACACGGCTTCAGACTTTCAGTATTCGGGTCGGATTGATTAAGTTCTTGGTAAGGTGACGGTGTTACGACAGAGAAGCGTCCAAAGGTTGTCACTGCTCGTATACTCTCGTTCGTTCGTTTGCCCGTCCCTTTCTTTCTTCATTACGCTTCGAGCTTAATCATCGTCGCAATTTGTGCACGCTGAAAATTTCTGTGTGTGCGTGAGCATGCATTTCTGCAGTATGCCAGAAACGGCTTGCAGATGATTAACTTCCTTGAAACGAAGACTGTACCATTCGCATGCCTCAGTCTTTGTCGATGCCGCCGTTGATTCTCTCCTTTTCAGCTTACTGCTTCCAGTAGTACTGGCGCCGAGCGATTATAAACATAGCATTGAAGACACGCAAAGTTGTAATTATCCCTAAACATGACTCATTTCGAGATATCAGTGAATCACTAAACTAATCTTCTAATTTACTTTAATAGAAACGTTACGATTTTAATCTAGAAATAAGTGATATTAGAGACGTTATCTTTCTACTTAAATAATAAAAAAAAGTATATACTTTATATGAGTACTTTCTGCTAAATAGAAAAACATGTATGCGGATCAAAGTATTAACGTCAGAAGAAGAGAGAGAGAAAGTGAAAGATCAACATATGCAAGGAGGGGAATGAGGAATCGTATAATTTACCGTGCTGAAATATTAAAGACAGAAGACTACTGTGGCATCCCCAGGGGTATCGACACCCCCTAACCTCGGAAACTCAAGAAACGTAACGGTACCTGCGAGGCTCCCTTAAAAATTCACGAGTCGAGGCCACAGCGGCGCTTTTTATCTCATCAAATAGTAATGCCGGGCATTGGACCGTTAGGAGGCGGGATCCCCTCAGGCTTTCCTGATCACGCGTCACGTATATTGTCACGATGTGCCGAGGAAAAAAAAATTTAATACGTTTTATTATTTTTGCATTAAATAATTTACAAAACCTATACGTTTTTTTCAAAACTTTTCTTTCCCTATCGAATCTTTTTATTCAACTGATACGCTTTAAGAATTGTTGCGAAGAAGAGCTCTCAATGGTATGATCGAAACGTGAGTGGTGTACAAAGAGTGAAATGCATTCGTGATAAATTCATATAGAAATGACGTACGATCGGCTGGCATCATATTGTCCCTTTAGCGCCGTTACTTTATTTTATACCATAATATACTTTTTATATTAATAAAGTGTCAACATTTATTGTGAACCGATCCATCAACGCGAAAATACAGTGCGTTCCTTAAACGGCTCGTGCTGATAGACAGAACATCACTTTTTCCTAATGGAAGCCGTCACTCCGCACCTTTTCGCCCTGCCGCGGCCTCGCACGGTTGGCGACGTGCGGAGGGAAAGAAGGGGGGAAGGAGTGAGAGAGCCTGGGATTCAATCTGCATTCAATATTGATTCCAATCCGATATCGTGGATTTCCATTTTTGTGATTTACTTCTTACGCCGGCAGCACCGGCACTATCTGTACTGCGAAAGAGGGTGTTTTTCGAGGGTCAACCCCAATGCATACCGATGTCGCGTCGTCATCGATCAAATATCGAGCGATAAATAATCTACCTTCGCGATGATACTCTTCGCTCTCAATTCTCGCAATGCGCGTCGACAGCTC